GTTTAATTTGCATGTGTTTGTGTATTTCTAGGGTTTTTTCTTTACTGGTTTCTAGCTTCACTCCACTGTGGTCAGAGATTTCAATCTATTTAAATGATCAAGACATTGTGACTAAAACTATGGTCTACCTTAGAGAATGATCCAAGCTCACTGAAGCTGAATGTATATTGAGTGTTCTATGCATGCCTAACACTAGCTGGTGTATTCTTGTTAAGTGCAGTCCAGTCGATTCTGACTCATAACAACCCTGTGTAGCGTTGCCGAGGAGTGACTGGTGGGTTGGCTTAGAGTGTCATTCATGTCCTTTGCTTCTACATGTCTGTGCAATATTGAAAGTGGGGTATTGAAGTCTCTTAACTATAATTGTAGTAGCATCTATCTATTTCTCTCTTCAGTTTTATCTACTTAAGTGCCCCGATGTTGGATGCATATATATTTGTTAAAGCTTCTTAATTATTTGGTCATATTTTTATCTCTATATGATATCCATTTATCTCTCCTGACAGCTTTTACCTGAAAGTCTGCTTTATCTGATGTTAAAAGCGCCCCCAGCTCACTTGGTTATTAACCGAATGGCATACGTTCCCATTCTTTCACTTTCAACTAATATACGCTCTTGGGTTTAAGGTGTGTCTCTTATAAACATCATACGGTTGGGTTTTTTTTTTACATACCTATAAAACTTTATTTGCCTATAAAATTTTACTGAAGATAATTCAGAAATTATTCCAGCATTACATTGACAGAGAACTGTCAAATTTTCAAGCCGATTCAGAAGAGGACATGGAATGAGGCATATCATTGCTGGTATCCGATGGATCTTGACTGAAAGCAGAGAATACCAGAGAGATGTAGTCTCTTTTTATTGACAGTGCAAAGTTATTTGATTGTGTGGATCGTAACAAATTATGGCTAACATTGTGAAGGACGGGAATTCCAGGACACTTCACTGTGCTCATGTGTCTGGAACCTGTACACAGACCAAGAGGCAATCATTCAAACAGAACCAGGGGATACTGCGTAGTTTAACAGTGGGAAACGGGTGCATCCAGGTTGCATGCTTTCATCATATTTATTCAATCTGTATGTTGAGCAAGTAATCTGAGAAGCTGAACTATATGAAGAAGAGTGTGGCATTGGGGTTGAAGGCATCATTAACCACCCAAGATGCACAACCTTGTTTGTAGAAAGAGGACTTGAAGCATTTACCAATGAAGATCAAAGACTATAGCCTTCAGTATGGATTGTACCTCAAGATCAAGAAAACAAAAATTATCACAATAGGACCAATAGGCAATATCATGATAAATGGAGAAAAGATTCGAGATATCAAGGATTTCATTTTATTTGGATCTATAATCAATGCCCATGGAAATATTAGTCAAGAAATCAAATGACATAGCATTTGGGTAAATCTGTTGCAAGTAACCTCTTTAAAGAGTAAAGATGACACTTTTGAGGCCTAAGGTGCATCTGACTCAAGCCACGGTGTTTTCAACCACCTCCTACGTATGTGAAGGTTGGACAATGAATAAGGAAGACCAAAGAATTGGTGCATTTGGATTATGGTGGTGTTGGGGAAAAACACTGTATATACATACCACGATCTGCTTGAATGAACACATCAGCCATAAGTACAGTCACAGTGCTCCTGTACATACATATGTACTTTGGACATGTTATCTGGAGTGACCACTCCCTGGAAAAGGATATCATACTTCGTAGAGGGTCAGTAAAAAGAGGAAGACCCTCAATGAGATGGGTTGACCCCAGTGGTTGCCAACAATGGGCTGAAGCAAAGCAAAAATTGTGAGGGTGCCACAGGGACAGGCAACGTTTCATTCTGTAGTACATAGGGACAGTATGAATCAGAAGTGACTCGCTGGCACTTAACAAAACACATAGCCTTTCTCCTTTCTGTCTTGCTCCTTCTTTCCTTCCGTCCTCTCTTGTCAGTTCGTCAGTACTCCAATGTCTGTTATAGTTATTCTTTGTATTAACTTTTCCTATTTAAATGGCTATGTCGCTTTTCTTTTCTGACTGGACCTAGACTGATACAGAACGTCTTACAACCAAGAGCAGGGTGCAGTCAACCAGGAAGAGAAGTTGCCCAGTACAATCATGACAGCGATGCGAAGAGTCAAAGAGAGCTGCTGGTTTGTCAGTTTAGATCTTTTTGAAAAACGAGAGGTCATTTACTGAACACGCAGGAAGAAGGTGGTTTTAGGGAGGAAGTCTGGAATAGTTGCTTTTAACTATAAATAAAGATGAATTTGGATCAAAGATTCCATAAAATAATTTTGACCAAAAGGGGAAAATGCAGAACAGAATTCTAAATTCTCATGGACTGTAGTAGACTTCCTGGATCTATGAAGATTGGATGAACCCCTGAAACTATTGCCCTGCAATCATCTTTAAACCTTAAACTAAGAATAGTTCCTGAAGTCTTATACCAAACATGTTTTGCTTTAGTAAAAATGGTGTGTCTTAAGCATTGTGCTGTTAAGAAGGATTCATATGGGATTAAATTGACAACAGCAACCTAAAGAGGCAATAGGCTTATGTTAATGGGGAAGAGATAATTCAGAAAAGGAGAATTGTTGTACAACTCGAAGAATATCATCAATGTCACTGAACTGTAAGTGTAGAAACTATTTAATTGGTGTATCTTTTGCTGTGTGTATTCTCAACAAAATAAAATTTAAAGCAAGAATAATCAGTTGAAAATCAGAACCTAATAGTATACTCATATTTTGAGTAGGCTAGCTCTTTCATTTGTGAAAAGGTTTTTAGTGACGTCATCATTTCGACATTGAAAGGGGTAGGAGTGAATGCTCTGATGCAGGTTTGGAAGTGGCTGAAACAGTAAAGACCAGGGAAGCCAAGTTACCAACCGCTGAGTCCAAGACAAACACAGTCAAGAGACCAATCGTGCAGTGCCGGCAATGTGGATGGTGATAGGAAGCCAGGTTTCACAAGAAGGGAAAAACAATCCTGTGGGATACTGGACTAAGTCAGGGTGAGCATCTTTTTATACAGTTGAATATATAAGAACCACAGCAGAAGTTTCTAACTTAATGGGAGAGTGGAAAATCTGAAGATGGGAAGACTGAGTCATGTGGCAGAAAAGTAATTAGCCAGAGAGCTCAGGTTCCCAAGGACAAGAGCAGCCGATGGGGATGCATGAGGCAGGTGCTCTGAAGTGACACTAGACACGCCCTCTGCTAGTTGGTTTGTCTTTCAAGGTTTTCAACATTGGGTTTGTTGCTGTTCAGTGCCAACTCATAGCAACCCTGTATTGGGATTCCAAGGAGTAGCTGGTGAGTTTGAACCACCGGCCTTGTGGTTAGCAGTCCAGTGCTTATGCTACAGTGCCACACCAGGTGTGTACTTAGCATTTTCATCTCGAATAGTGCTTCTGGACCACCTTTGTTTTCATCTCCCCTCCTGTGTGTCACTCCTGGGGTAGATGGTAGAGTTGAGTGTCTCAGTCGGAGTGGAACATGACAATTATTTCTATTTCAGGCACAAGAAATCCACTGACATTCTGCATGGTGACTGAGTACACACATGGCTATAGGGAGGGAAACCAACATTTCCTAAGGCAAATGCAACTTATTGGAGATGGTGCAGTTTCTTTCTCTATTTATTTTATTTCATTCTTCAAGAAGCTGGTCACCACCCATTCAACTGACCCCATGACCTTTCTAATGGTTTGTGATTCCTAGTGTGGAGCCAGCACTCCAGAGGAACGAGGTGACTCACTCACCTCACAGGCTGATTACAATCTGAGGAGAACACACACTCAGCTCAACACTTCCCTATACTCTAGTCGGTGTTTATGACTTTTATCTTTGTTTTCCAAGCCCTGTAAAGAGAGGGTGCAACACAGGAACCCGAATGCCAAGACCCCATCCATGTCAATCTCCCTCTTTCTGAAGTGATACTTTTCATGACACTCATGTTCAGATCCACATCAGTGTCATGTACATCATCTTCACTGGCCCACACTAAAATCCTGTAGCAAAGATAACCTTCTTGTTACGGAAAACGGGCATTGCTTGCATTATTCTAAAACAAGACAAGGATTTGAAACACTTCACTAATGACAAAGTATGGAAGTTTAGCTCAATATGATTTTATTCAAAAATTTGCAAAGCTGAAGGAGGAATCTGATCTTTTGCTAGAAGGAAGCAGTTTTCACAGTATATATGTAGCCATTTTAGCTTTGTGTTGAACAAGAGGACGTTTCTGTTCAAGATCCTCACTCCAGCACATTCAGTCAGGTGGCTTGGGGTCTTGTGACAAGTAACACATTCCCTGGACTGAAGCTCATAGTAAACTAACTCTCTCACCCAAGCAGAGCACTGGTTCTTCCCCAGGCACATACATGCAATCTTATCTTCACAGCTCTGCAGAGGGCCCTAAGAATCCTTAATTTTACAGTTGAGAGAAATGTGGAAGGATTCCTTAACTCAGTGCCTACAACAAATCCAACCACCTGTTAGCTCTTGACAATTGCAAGCATAAAATACTTGAAATGTAGCAGATATTCCACAGTTAATGGAACAGTTCAAATGTTAAAAAATTAGATCATGTAACATGCTTTCATGTTTAAAAGTGTTACTTAATAAAACTTGGTGCGGCAAGATATGCAGCAATTTCTCGTAGTTGGTATTATAGACTCCTATGGACGGTCACTACTTGATGGTCAAAAAAATAAAGAGAAGAAACCACACACAGCAGAATAGAGCAAGCCTGCAGGGAATGTCATATTTAAACTCTGTTACAGAAACTAAACCAGAAAAAAAAAAAAAAAAAAAAGTCTACAAAACCAACACTCATGTGATTTTAAAGGATGAGGTAGATTTTTTTTTTTTCCTATGCAGTAAGGTGAAGATAAAAAATGCATACAATTTTCAAATGTTTTTTTTAAAAAGTTCAGTTCTAGTCACTTTCACACACAGGACATAAAGAAACAGTGAGGGGAACGGCTGCTGTCAGGCAAGTTCTGTGCTTGATGCGTTGTTACTTATAGATTCCACAATTAGTCTGGGATCAATCAATTCTCTCCAACACACAGTGATCTGAGGAAAAATACAAAACACCACATTTAGAGACTTCATTCTGAGGCCACATCCAAAGCCAAAACTGTATCATTGCTTTTAAGTTGTTGCCAACTCTGAGTGACCCTGTAGCACAGGAGAGAACAGCCCCCAAGGTTTCCAAGGCTGCAAACCTTTTTGGTAACACAGCGCCACATTTTTCTCCTTCAGAGTGGTTGGTGAATTTGAACTGCTGATCTTTTGGTTTGCAGCCAACCCCTTAAGCACCGTGCCACCAGAGTTCCTCTTTTAAGTCAAAATCGTCACTCAAGGAACTTTTTATTTGTGCAGAATGGCTGAAGAACTAGAATGACTGAGTCTTGGAGTAAACTGAGTTCAATTAGAATATAAGAACGTAATTGACCTGAAATGCTGCTAAATTTTATATGAAACCTATTTCATTTTTCTTTGGTTTAAAACTAGGGTGGGGAAACAGGCTAACTCGTTACAAAATGATCAGAAGGATATGCCTCAACAAACTCCAGGTGGGCAGAGGCTCCCAGACCTCTTGGGAGTCAGCGGTGCCCCAGATTCAGTGGAATGTTGGTGTCCTTTCTCTTGCAGCTCTGTAGTTCTTATCCTTTGCTGCCTAAATACAGGCTTTTTCCACATGCTACAAAGGGTGAACGAGGGCCATCTAGTTTCAAGAAAAGGTAATTACAGTCTTTCTATCTTTTGAATGGAGTCCTGATGTGGCGCTGTGGGTTAATGAGCCAGACTGCAAAGCCATTTGAACTGCAAAGTTGCCGGTTCAAGCTCACCAGCTGCTCCTCAGAAACCCTATACAGGGTCGCTATGGGTCAGAAATGACTCAATGGCACTTGACAACAACAACATCGTTTGAATAGGCCAGGGGGAAAGCCTCCCAGATTTAGTTTTCCAATGCAGTGGCCTGGGGTAGATTTCAATGAAAAGTGGGGTTGCACTCTAAGAATGTGGTTTTGGAATCAGTTCTCCGGAGTTCATCTATCCTAGCCAAAAGAAAACACAGGACTTGGTTAGGTACATTTTAGACAAAATGTGAATATTGAACTTTACAGAATATTAACACTGAAAATATATAACACCTGAAGAGAAGGCATTTTCTTAAATGCAACCCTAATTATAAATATAATTCTATTGACTGTAATGCTAGCACAGCCTAATGAGCCAGGGACGGCCTGCTATCCTGGCAGCCTGGGATGTCTACAAGCGGTTTAATCCATGTATCATACTTTCCAAAACGACAATTCAAGGATTTAAACAAAATCAAGGACAAACTTGTTACTTTAAGCCCTTCTTCAAAATGATGCTGTGGCAAATCAAAACAGTGGTAGCATGGGGGTGGGGGTAGTGGCAGAGGACAGGCACAAAGTGACAAGAAGGGGCACGAGAGGGACTTTTAATGTCCTGTCCTTCATCTGGTGGTTACATGGTATGCCCATTTGTAAAATCATCCAAACTGTACATTTAAGTAATATGCACATTTCTAACTGAACTTAAAAAAAAAAAAAAAAACCTTAAAAAATATACCACTCTTTCCACTTGGGAGCTCACACAAATCCTGTGACTACAACCTTCAGCAACTCTGCATTCCTACACAAGAGTTTGTTCTCTGTGCATCCTGCCATGTCAGGGCCTCCATTGGGCAGTTGGCAATAGTTTGCTGCCTCCTAGGTAGACCAGAGTCCCCCGGGGCCTAGATCCTTCCTGTTTGAATAGGCAGTTCAAGAAAGTGCGATGTCACCTTCCAGACCAGAGAGAAGGCATGACCGCGCAGTCTCCAGAAGAGAAGTCCGCCTACCCTCTTGTCCTGCGTCACAGCATACTCCACCACCTCAGCTCCATTCTCATTGTGATAAACCAGATCAAATTTCCCAGGTTCTCTCATGGCTGAAACCACACAGTAAGGAGGTGAGACAAAAAGTCATTGCAAAGTAAACCAATATGTCCCTCTGCAGGGAATTCATGCCACTAGAAACTCCAAAGAAATGGTCAACCAATCTGTACACAGGAGCATGGGGTGTGCTCAGAAGGCCCTAAGAAACCTGGCATTTGTAGATGGGGGCTTCTTGGGTAAAAAGAACATATATGGAGTACATTGTAATTTAAAACATTAAAAACACTGAGAACTAAAGTGTTTCACTTCTTGGTTTAAAAAAACCTGCACGGATCTAACCACAGTATTTGCATTCTTGCTATATACTTACACTAAGGGCAAGTATCAAGTATTCTGTCCTTGTGGAACTGCATACTCTTTTATAAGTGTGGATCAACTTACAACATTTTATCCTTTGCAGTAACTTTAAAGTCATAAAACATCTTCCTAAATTTCTTTAAAGTTTTTTTTTTTTCATGTTTTATTGTGAATTATATAATATTTTACATGAGAGAACTTTGTTTTACATTCATTCCACCATTCCACCGTATATCGTTTCATTGCCATGGTTCCAATCCCCTCCATGCATCATCAATCGACCAAAGGGTATACCCTATAAACCCGCCCCCTACCCCCCCCCCCCCCCCCAATTCTTCAGCACACAGTCCCTCTCTGGATCCAAAGTCCCCAGCCACTTCATCACTCCATGTCATTGTCTCTGCCTCTATCTCGGGCCTCGTTGCTTCTCTGGGTAGGGTCCTGCTCTCGGCTCTTCTTCGTTGATGGTCCTAGAGACCTCTGCTCCTAGACTGGACAGTTAATCACTCCCCTCCTTGCTACAAAACGTTTACCTTTACATTTCCAACCCTCACAATCAGTCCTGATAACAATCATTCACTATTGTATCACAAGTGACCCTTCAGATTGGATAGTACTCACTGGAGATTCTGCCTTCCTCCATGCCCCTTAGCTCTAGGTTCCCTCTTGAAAGCTTGTAAGCCAGTCACTTCTTGCCTTTGTAGTCCCCCCTCCCCCACCATTTGGGTATCCAATGTCCAAGTTGCCTATCCCTGTCTACTCTGTGTGTGGAGGGGGTGGGAATGTTTCTTGCTGTAAGGATTTGTTTCCTCTTTTAGGTTACTGCATCCATAGGTGTAGGTCGAGTTCATCAAATTGTATCAGATCACTCTTTTTTTTTTTTCCCTCTTCTTTCTTCTCTTGGTTGAGTTCTGATCATCCATTCATCGGGGTCAGGTCACGTGGGTACCATCTGCAGGTGTGGGTGTTCTTGTGCGTATGCCCTCTCTTCCTATCAGCTGGTAGCTTCACTCTCCACTCTAGTCCTCTGTGGCCACGCCGCTGACTCTGGGCCCAGGAGTCCCCAGGTCTCCCCACACTGCGGGCCAACCAGGTCCCCATCTGGGTCCACAGAAGCCCACCGAACATTGTAGAGCTTAGCTTGCTGCTTCATTGCTGCTTTTACCCCACTTCCCCCTATCAACGATGCGTGTGGTCACCAATCAGAGCACCTATTTCCATTGAGTCTTAAGTCTTGGAAGGGGGTTTGTAATGTGAAGTTTTTGCTAGTATAACTTCCTCTGGGATATCTTCATTCTTTCATCACAACCACACTCCTCATTTATGTCCATATGTTCACAAAGCAGTGTGGACATTATCACAGCTATCTGTTATAAACTCCATTGGTGTTCAATTCAAATTTCACTTCTAGCCTTACTATCATTTTGTGTTTTTTTGCTGAGCTTTGATTTTTGCTGACCAATTCCCTCATTTAACTATTCCCTCCTTCCATTTAACAAAGAGGTTACAAGCTACACAGCCTGCTGTCTTCACAGGATCCAAGTAACAGATCAAAGGTGATCCATCACTGACAAACGCTGGAGGAAGTGATGTGACTGCTGGCCATTCACAGTGTGCATTTATTATTCACATGGAGATCTGTGGGCTGAAGAGCTAGCAGTATGTTGTTGAATAGCATTAACATGCCATGGTAACTGAAACTGGAACTATGTTGTGCGAGGACTAGTATTAGTTATCTAAACCGTTAAGAACTGAGATTCATGCATAGGTTGTTGTTGTTGTTATTAAGTGCAATTGAGTTGGTTCTGACTCATAGAGACCCTGTGTAGAGTTGCTGAGGAGCGGCTGGTGGGTTTGAACCACATGTGGCTATCAGTCCAGTGCGTATCACACCAGTGCATATCACTACAGCGCCATACCAGGACCTCTCATGCATACTGGAAACATGCAAAGACGGCTTGTATTTCCAGTAGAGAAGAGGTCAAGCAATTTCTGGATGCTCTAAAGAAGAAAAGCTCTAACTGCGTGTTATCACTGCCAATCACCTTACAAGCCGTGACCCAGCTGTGTCCACAAAGCTTCTCTTCTACAAATAAAACCTAATCAAAAGCTGGAAAACCACTATAAATTGTAACTAATTCTTAATACCATGACGGGAATTTGTTGAAAACCCCTTTGATTGGTTCCTGCTTATTGGAGTGTTTCATCTTATTTAAAAACAAGCAGAAGACAGTTCACTGTGTTAGAGTCTGCCAAAGAAAGATCTCCCAAACACATTCCAAAATTAAGCTGATACAGCAAAGGCCCTCTTGTTCCAAGCTTTCAGAACCAGTCATGGGTGGGACTAGTAAGGAATAAAGCAGGGAACGATCTAAAATAATAATGTGTGTGTGTGTGTGTGTGTGTATACTCATATGCCATAGCTAACTTTTGACTTAACACACAAAGTCTGCTCCCTTGCCAATCGTCTGAAGTAAGACGGGGAAAGTCTATGAGTATGGGACCAAGGCTTAGAGATATCTGTCTTGCTTTTATACGACATACATACCCCTAATGTACTGTCTACAGTTTCCACAGTTTCCAGTTTTAGTTGTAAACTGAGATGCAAGCATCCTTAGATTTGAAAGGCAATCTGAATGCAAAATCCTCTTACATTTTTACAGAATTTTCCCTTTTTACAGTTGACCTGCCCGAACATAATTTAATAGCAAATTTTTATCAACTCTTCTGAGTCAGCATTCAATATAGACATAATTATTTTTTACAATCAATTTTTACCAGTTTGCATGATTTATGAAATGATATAATTACAGTAATAAGAACTATTAACCTAATAGCTTTGGGAACAAATCCACCAAGGTCTCTGTAGGCACACAATTAATCCCACTCACGGGAGCAGGGATGTGGGCCCCAAGTTGTAGTGTGCAGACAGAGGGGCAGTGGAGCCCTAATTAATCACAGGACCAGCAAAGCAAACATCTCCTGTGCAGGAAAGCTGTTCAGGAACCACTGAAGATATGAAGAGTATTTTCAGATCCTATTCTGAAAGACTCACCAGGTAAAGATGAAAGGATTTCTATATCCATTTGTTGGGTCTCTGGGTTGTGGCTTAATATTTTTCCTTCCTTTAAAAAATAAAAGTCCAAGTCAAAAATCAACATGTCCATTATGGATACACTATAAAAGCACTGAAATATACTCTGGTTAAAAGGGTGAATTTTATGTTATTTGAATTTGATTTCAAATTTTTTAAAATTTAAATAAATCAGTATATAGGAGAAATAAAAGCAGACATGTGGATTGAAAACCCCTCTCTGTAAACAGATGGAAATCCCCTCAGAGGCAACACAACCAGCTGCTGTTGAGTCGATTTCAACTCACGGCTTGGTAGAATTGTGTGAGAGTAGAAAGGAACACCTTTGGGTTTTCAATAGCTAATTTTTCGGAAGTAGAAGGGGGCTTCTAAAAGTTCATGAAAAAATGGAATGAAATTCCTCCACAAACTATTTGAAGCCTCTCACAAATCACCAGGACTTTCTTCCGAGGTGCTAGGGGCAGACTGGTACCTCCACCGTTTTGGTTAGCAGCTGGGCCTGTTAACAGTTTAAATCACCCAGTGTCTCCCAGAGGCAAAACAGTTCCATTTAAACCCTAACTGGGCCAGCACTGGCCTGCAGGTTAGAAGGAGAGTAAAGGACAGACAGAGCCCTAGGACAGCACAGTGACGGAAGACGGGAAGAGGAGGAAGGAAACCTCGCTAGGCCACCACGATACTCAAATGAGAGCTCTCATCCTAGTGTTCGCCATGCAAAGAAGGAACGCACGCGGTTTAATACGGTTCTCAACAAAAGGGGAAGGAAACACATAATTGTGTGAGTCAAGCTTTTACTGGATTGTGCCCACATAGAGTTCCATACAGATGGGCAGTGAAGAACGTCTACGGGCGGTCCATGGGAATTGTCTGCCATTAACTGACCACTTCAGAGCAGGATAACCAGTAATAATTCACAACATGTCAAAGAGCTCCTGGTGAAAATCAAATTTTCTAGCCAAAAACTATGTGTCATTTTCTTTCAAAGTTTACATTATGTGATTATTATGTACATTATGTAGGTGGAGTACTCAGATGCACTTGGGTTTCTAAGTTGATTACAAAAAAGGACATGAAAATAAATTAAGCTCAGTATTTCCATTCTACAGTCTTCTCAAGTATGAGGTTAATGACACTGGGAAATACTATTTGAAATTACATTTTAATGTTTTTAACTTCTACTTTATGATATTATGTACTCAAAAAATTTTATATTACCCTACATCAGTAGTACTAAATACAATTTTAGTTTCTTTAGTATACCGATAATTATTTTAAATTAACAGCCATACCTTGTAATCAGAAACATCAGGAGAATAATCAGATGTTAGTTCCAAAAGCTGAAAAGATTTAAAATCTCTATAAATACACAAGTCCCTCTTCAAGTCACACATCCTCATACCCCCTTCGGCCCACCCACAAGGAAGCACACTGTGTTACGGTGCCCTCTTCCACCACTCCGGGGATCCTACTGTGAACCACAGCAAAACAGGGGTTCTAGTGAAAATGTCAGCTGACTTTCTATGACATTTAATTTATATCTTAATGCATATTAAATATATTCAACTTTACTGACTAAGTAAGTTTATGTGGAGGAGAAATTAACTTTATTTTTTGCCGTATGGTTATTGTTTATATATATATATATATACATACATACACACACACACACACACACACACATAAGGTGCTCTGGTAGCGTAGTGGTTACGAATTGGGCTGCGAACCTTAAGGTCAGCGGTTCGAAACTACCAGCCGCTCCACAGGAGAAAGATGAGGCTTTCTACTCCCGTAAAGATTTACACCCTCAGAAACCCTGTACAGGGTCGATATGGGTCGGAACCGACTCGACGGCACTTAACAACAACAACATATACCTTGAATGCAATCTTTTCTCCAACTTGAGGGGCAGCTGCTAATAGTGGTAATGTACTGTAGTCCTTCTTGTGCATTTCTACTGGATTCTGAAAAACAAAACAAAACAAAACAAAACGAGCAACAACCCAGTATTAGTCTTAAGACTTTGTTCCGGTGAGAAAATGTGAATCCACGAAACCAACTCCAGACACGCATCAAGGGGCTGGGGGGACAGGCAAGCAGACAAACTCGAGTGAATTAACACTGACCTGTATAATAGTAGATGAGTTTGTTAACATTTCATTTAACTGCTGCTGCTTCTGAAGTTCACTGTTTCGATTTAAAACACAGGGAATGGTTTGCCCTCGTCCTCGACCTCTGCCCCGCACGCCCCGGCCCCTGGATCCTTTCCAAGAAAGAAGGTCCTCTCCTCTACCCCATCCTCTTCCCAAACTGGTGGGGAGAGACAAGTTGGAAGGACCAGAAGCCTGTCTGCCCCCATGTGAATCGGAATGCTTCCATCCAGGAGCACTTCGAGTCTGGGTCAACAAGTCTGGCCCTGCGCCACCTTTTCCTGCGAAAAGGCCCACTGTCTTTAAGAGACTTGCAGCGCACTCCGGGGTTCTCTGAGACACTGTGCTCTCATCATCTGACTCAGAACTGGAGTCTGAACTAGAAGATGATGTGTTGGTGGCCTTGCCCTTGACAGGGGTGAGGCTGAAGTTAGTTTTTGAAACCAGTTTTTTCTTAGTTGTGTTTTTCACAGAGGATCCTTCTTTTGGTAATCCAGTTGATACTTTCTCTGAGGACTTCTTAACCTCCGAAACAGCATTGCTGAGGCCATCACTGGTGGATTCATGCGATGACTCAGACTCTGATGAGGAATTGGGGCTATCTTTTGCACAAATGCCTATCCCACCTTTCTTTCTGACTTTCACCAGGCTGTTTCTAACAGGCGAGCCTTTTGGCGGACTACAGTTCTTGATGGCCCAGTCTTTCACAGCCTGTGCTTTAGGAGACTTGTGATTCTTTATTTGTCTTTTAAATTCACCTTTCTCCTTTTTCTTTGGTGATTTTCTTCTGGTCTCTCTACCATCATCATCACATGCTGCTTTGTTTTTCCTCTTAGTTTTTTTCCTCACATTTTGGTTTATGGCAGTTTTTGGTTCCCCATCCAGGGTCTTCTCATGGTCATTGTCCTCTTGCTTCTTCCAACACTTCCTTGAACATTTGTAACCTAGTTCATCTTCTTCATCCTCCACCAATTTAAATGCCCGCTTCTTTGCTTTTTTAGGTAATACATTAGTACTGTCACCATTGCTGGCTACTACAGGACTCTCCGTAACACCTTCTTCTAATTTAACTCTGTCAAAAGAACAAAAGAGATAACTAGAGTAAATACTTCAGAAGCACATCCCAAGATGGAGTTATATACTGAGATGACTATGCAAACTGTCACTACCATCAGCCAATGACAAGTTGTCAAACCCCATATGAACAAAAGACTGATAAAATGGCCTGTTGTTGTTCTTAAATGCCGTCAAATTGGTTCTAACTCACAGCGACCCTTAGAGGATTTCTAAGGAACAGCTGGTGAGTTTGAACCACCAATCTTGCGGTTCAACCTGACCTTGAAGTAGAGGGCTTATCCTATGGCACCAAGGTGAACTCTGTGCTATTTATGGTCAACTTTCAAATGACTCTTATTTATTGACCATCAACTGCATCCCAAACATTTTCTATGTATTTCCTCTAAAATCAATACCACTGGGAAGGAGGAGTCTTTCATCTTATAGAGCCCCAAATTACGGTCCATATAAATACCATGCCCAAGCCCTCCCACAGCTAACAATAGCAGAAACGGGATTTTATCTAACTTCAAAGCTCATAGTCTTTCTAGCATGCTGTCGACTGGATAGTTCTCATATTTAGAACAGTGACATGAAAGATACCCAGGATACATCACAGGGGATAAACGGAGAATAATATGTGTTACGATGGCATCTGTATTTTAAAAAAAGCAAGTACCGGGGTCTCCTGAGCCCATGGACAAGAACATAGCCATGGAGGGCTAGAGCTGAGAGTAGGGTGGTCTAGCTGATATGAAGTGAGAGGAGACACACAAAAACACCCAAATTTGCAGATAGTACCCATGCTTTGATGGCTTACAGATCATAACTACACTAAAAGAAGATAAAAAAATTTTTTGATGAAGGAAACAAGTGTAAATTGCTACAACTTGATGAACTTGAACTATACTTATGGGTGTAGTAGCTCAAAATACCAACTGAGAGGAAGAAGTCTTCATCCTACCCACTCTGTATGCAGGGGTGATAGGGATAGGCAACTTAAGACATTGGCTACCTAAAATTGGGGGTGGTGGTGGGGTGGACTATAAAGGCATGAAGTGACTGTCTTACAAGATTTCAAGAAGGAGTTTAGTTTCAGAGTGTGCGAGGGAAGGCAGAATACCCACTGAATGGTTTTCATCTTGTCTAGGTGGGTCTGGTGAAAAGAGATGGGGATAGGATTCTTATGATTCAATAGTGAGTAGTTGTTATCATGACTAATTGCTATGGTCACAGCTGTAAAGGTAGAAGTTTTGTAACATAAAGAGGGAGTAGTTAATTTTATAGTCCAGGAACAGAGGATCCTAGGACCATCAGTGGTAAAGAGCATGAACAGAATGTGGAACCCTATCCAGAGAAGCAGCAACATCAGAGATGGAGGCAGAGATGAAGACATGGAGAGACAGAGCAGCTGAGGACTTTAGACTCATGGAAAGAGAAAGGCTATGTGCTGGTGGCTAGGAGACAGGCTTGCAGAATGTGCCCTCTGGTTGTTTAAATGATTATATATTCCTGAGTGTTTTGGTGTACACCCACCCCTCACCCCAAAATAAATTTAAAAAAAAAAAGCAAGTACCAACAATGGGTCATTGATCAGAACAAATGTCCCACGTTAATGCAGGACATGGATAATAGAGGAAACAGCATGGGAGGGAGGAAAAGGGCACGTGGGATTTCTGCATTCTTTGTGCAATTTCTCCGTAAACCTAAAATAAAACTACTCTAAAAAAAAAAAAAAAAAGCCATTAATTAATTTAAAAGAAAGTATAAGTATTGTTTGTATCTGTACAGAAAGATGTACTACAAACCTAACTGAAGACACTTCTGGAGAGTGGGGTGTGGAAGAACTATTGAGAAGAGAAATGGAGGGCTTTTAATCTTGAAGTCTTTTGAAGAATACAGTTCTTGTAACAAGCTCCTTTTGTGTGTGTTTTAGTAAAAGGATGGGGGAGGACTACGAACGTTCCAGGACTCAGAGCAGCTAAGGTCTGGAGTTACTTGACTCTGTCAACTGTTCGGGGGCATTAGATGAACATATGAGAGCAGCTCTCAACATTTTGAAGCCCAGAAACCATCAACATGCTGTGAAACAAAATTTAGTCTCAAGAAACCTAGAGCTGGGCAACTTTAATGGCAATTATATATATATATATTTAAACTTTGTGAATTGAGATGTTTGCAAAGCAGATCATCAGTTTTACATTCAACAAATCCTATACTTTTTCCACCTTGATTACATTCTCCTCAATGCAACATTAGGCATCCCATTTCCTCCCTGTGGTTCTGACTTCCATCTGCCTTCTTTCCCAACCACTTGCAATGTTTTCCTTAGGTAAATGCTGCCCTTTCTAATGTGAATGGTTGACCATTCTATGGTGTGTACCCCTCACTAGTGTTGTTCTCCCCTAGATACCTGCCTACAGCTTGGCTGAAAATTGCACCACAAGGGTGAGCTCAGTTCCAGACAGGAAGAGTGACCAAGGGCCATAGCCTGCGGTTCCACCAGTCTCTTTCTGACCAGTAAGTCTGATGTTTTCTACGATTTGAATTTTGTTCCATACTGTCTCCCACTCTATCCAGGACCCTGTAATGTGACCCCTTTCAGAACAGTTGGTAGTGGTAGCCTTGTCCCATGGTCATGGAGACTGATGTTCACATGGCTCATTAGGCCCTTGAACTAATTGTTTCCAAGGGTCTTCAAGTTTTATCACTCTTCTTTCCTCCAGACAAGGAGAAACCATAGTTGTACCTTAGATGGCTGCTCATTAGCCTTTAAGATCTTAGTTTCTACTCACCAAAGTAGGATGTAGGACATGTGTCTGTGGACTGTTGTTGTTGTGAGGTGCCGTCAAGTGGGTTCTGACCCACAGCGACCTTATATAGGGTTTCCGAGGAGAAGCTAGTGAGCTTGAATCGCCAACTTTGCAGTTCAAATGGCTTTGCAGTCTGACGCATTAACCCACAGCACCACACTAGGACTAGATAGGTTATGCCAAGTGACCAAGGTGTCCCTAAGACTATGGTCCTGAGCCCCCAGGTCCATCAACTCAGTACCTCAAGATATCTGGTAATGTCTAAGACAGTTTCATAATTTCATGGCAATTACCTTCCCTGGCACTCAAAGTTTCAGGACCCTGGTTCGTAAAGTCTGTCCTTTTAACGCTTACAGCCAGCCCTCACCAATACTCCAGCGGGGCTTGGGTGTAAATCCAAGGGGTAACTAAGTATGGCAATATGAAAAAAGAACCCATCTCTAAATTTAAATCTGGTATCAAATGCCATAGAGGGTTACAAAGCAAAGGAGGAGAGAATGCATTTTGTTTCTTTACAGAACGCTTCCTCAACAAAGAAATCTCCTGAAACAAATGGTGTGAGCAAACGGTGACAGCACACAAGGGCAGAGAAGTCGCTTGAGCCTCTGAGCTCAAAAACGCTGTATCAAATCCAGTTTCTCAGGCTAGAAATGTGGGCTTCCCATAACCCGGCTCCACTTTTCCTAATGTAATTTCTCTGCATACTTGCAGTACTTCCAACAGAATCTTTCTGCAAGACAGACTTGTCTCTTTACTGAGTCAGGCAAGCTCTTGCCTCCACAATTGCGTACTGCCATCCAACATTCCCCACCCATCTTTAAATGCACTGCTGAATTCCCTCGCTGTTTCTGTTCTACACTGACCTCCCCTTTCTCAAGTTCATCTTTACTTAGCAGCATATCACAGTCTAATCACTCGGTCTAATTGCCTGCACCACACAAGACTATACAGAAGCATAAACTACTCTGGCAATATTAGGTACCTTTGAACAGTGACTACATGTCTGCTGTGTTGTTACTAAGTGCTGCCAACACATAGTGTTGGTTCCGACACATAGTGACCCTGTATATGGTTTCCCAGGAGCAGCTAGTAAGCTTGAACTGCTGACCTTATGGTTCAAACCGACCTTGCAGTCCAGTGTACTAACCCACAGCGCCACACCAGAACTCCTATAAGTCTGTTATAGCCCTGAAGAAAGTGAGTTTGCAAGAGGAAGACAAGAAAATGACTAGGGCATAAAACAACAAAAGCAAACATTTTTCCAAATGCATTTACCCCCACTGAGGTCTGTCCTGTTTATCACCAAAGACAGCTGCGGAAGTATTCAATGCCATATGTAATGGTGCGTTTCAAGCATTTTGGAGGAATTTCACCTGCCATTGTACTGTACTCATTATTTATAACAGCTTTCATAGTTTCTTTCTGAAGTTGCTAACTTAATTATAATGAATGTATTTCCCAGGTAAGTCATTAAATGAAGTATAAATGTAATTAGCTAAACACAAGTTATTAATTCATCAGGCAGGGGAAAGTTCAGAAAGCAAACTTAGCAGGAGGGGACACAGTCTTTACAATAAATACAGTTCTGGGATTGCAGGGTAATGGAAATCTATTTCACAATTAATAAAAAGGGAAAGAAACTCTTTTAGAATCTGCACTGCTTCAGTTTATCATTAGAAGCCATTGAACTCTATTAATAAATCATAGTGTTGATCATTTAAGAAAGAGACACACAAACAAAAGCATAGTAATTATTCCACATTAAATGATCTGATGCGCTGAAGAAACCTAATGAATCTGTCATGCTATGGGTAAAGGCATGTGTAACAACAAAGAGCAAGCAAGAAGTATGCTGGTCCACATTTCTGGAATCAATCAAATGTAGCTGAAGCTATAACACAAACAAGAAACCCTCTATAAATGAGTCCAAGATATGAATCTCAGCTGGGATCATTGTGTCTCACCACTTGTTTTCTTTTCCTTTTTAGATAAATCAACCACATCTGGTTAATACACACTGCAATCGCTCCTTGATGCCCATCTCTGTGTCACTGTAACAAAATTTCCGGAAGCACGTTTAACATTACACTTTGTGTTCTCCAATTCACAACCCTAAGGGGTACAAACAACTATTGGCATGAACCATCACTAGCCCAGGTCAGGTACAGAATGACATCTAGTAGTCTCAGGGAATATCGCAGGTCAACTACGGTTGGACAACCACGGTTTTATGTAATCATAACTTCCTGTTTTTTGGGATCTCCTTCACCGGACCCTGAGATCCACCAAGGACAAGGTCAGGTCTCAGGCACATTTGCATCAGACCCACCATGATTGGCTAAGTGAGGGAGGGTGTATAAATCAAGGCTGAAAGAAACACGGGCTTTGCCCATACACTAACTTTGTTGTTATTAAGTGCTGTGAGTCGGTTCCGACTCATAGCGACTCTGTATAGGGTTTGCATGGGATGGCTGGAGGATTTGAACCGCAGGCCTTAAGATTAGCAGTCTGGTGCTTTTCCTACAGCGCCACAACAGGTCTCCACACAATAATTTCTTGTTGTCAAGCGCCGTAGAGTCGATTCTGACTCATAGCGACCCAGTATAGGGTTTCCGAGGAGCAGCTGGTGGGTTTGAACTGCAGACCTTATGGTTCACAGTTCAGTGCTGATCCTACAGAGCCAGTATTTTTACAAGTTTCGTCCTCCAGCCACCCACCTGTGGAGCTTCCCGGGGAGGAATGGTCGTTAACCTAGAGATTCCCCAACACCGTAAATGGCTGCAACAATATGCATTTTAAACAGCGACGCTCCTAGAGGCTCCCATCCCCATCCCCCTACCTCCCACCCACTCGAGGGTCTACAGCAAGCTGAACACACGCTTCCCCCAGGTCCCCACGCCCCGAGCGTGCGCAGGCGCGTCCCAGGCCCGACCCAGACCCATCGCACACCTGAGGCAGTCGTTGTCTCGCACCAGGCGCGCACTCTCGCCAGGGGGCAGGAGCCCCCCGTCCAGGTAGAGGCCTAGGAGGGCTCCAGAACTGAAGCCAAAGCGCTGGCGGACAAGACTGATGAGATCTGTGACAACTCGGCATCTGCTTAAGTCAACGAGAAGCCAGAAGACCGTGCAGTCCGGGGTGGCTGGCGGTGGATAGTCAAATTGAAGTCGTAGTCTAACCGTCTCGGAGGCTGCCATCTTACTCGGCTCTCAACGGAAGCCGAGAGATGCCACTCTGCTACGGACAGGCGTGTTCGGGGGACCCGCCCCCTGGAGTCTTTTAACGTGTGCCACCTGTCGGCGGCACATGGCTACTACAAGCTTCGTAAATTGTTAAGAACGTGGAGCTTGGGTGGTTCGATTCAATTTCATTCACTACAGAGCTAAAGCCAAGTTTAATAAAATGCCTTTATTTCTCTTCTACGAAGCTCTGGTAGCGTAGTGGTTACGAGTTGGGCTGCTAACCTCAAAGTCAGCAGTTTGAAACTACCATCTAACCCGCGGGAGACAAGAGACTTCTGCTCCCGTAAAGATTTACAGCCTAGACAGGGTCGCTATGTGTCGGACGACTCCAACGCACATAGCCATCCACCACGGAGCTGTAGGATCAGCACTGGACTGCGAGCCACAAGCCACAAGGTCGGCAGTTCAAACCCACCAACTGCTCCTAGGAAAACCTATACAGGGTCCTTGTGAGTCGGAATGAAATAACGTAATAACAACAATAGCAGAGTTCTAAGTGGACTTAGACTTTAGGCAAATATCTGGAAATCTTAGCATTTAAAAAATAATATTCTTTCAAAATGATTAATTGAAATAATCATTATGATTAAATAACTATTTAATCATAAAAAGTTGTTGCTAAGGCTGTAGTTCGATCATATCGTGAATATGTCCTGTGCTTACCGTATGGAGCCACCACCCTCCCAATTAAAACCATTGTTGTTTCGTGCCGTGGAGTCTCTTCGGACTTAGAGCCACCCTGTGTACGGTTTCTGAGGAGCGGCTAGCGAGTTTGAACCGCCGACCTTGAGGTTCAAATCAACCTTGTGGTTCAAATCAACCTAGCGCCTTATCCTGCAGTATCACACCACTGTTGTTGTTGTTGTTGTTATGTGCCGTGGAGTCGGAACCGACCCATAGCGACCCTGTACAGGGTTTCCGAGGGTGTAAATCTTTACGGGAGTAGAAAGCCTCATCTTTCTCCCGCGGAGCAGCTGGTAGTTTCGAACTGCTGACCTTGCGGTTCACAGCCCGAGTCTTAACCACTAACCACTGCTAACTGTCTCCAGTGGAGTATAAATACCTTAGCAGTTTAACGGCGGGCAATCACTTGTGGCTCCATACGATGAGCACTGCGCTAGGAACCATAAGACCCACTAGCCCGCCTGTAGCTTCGCGGGAGAAAGATGAGGCTTTCTGCTCCTGCAAACATTTTCAATGCCTCGGAAAACCGATACAGCATGACCAAGAATCGGAACCGACTCAATGACACTTATTTTAAAATGTAAAAACAAGCCTTTCTTATTTGGTGGTGGTGGTTATGTGCCATGGAGTCGGTTCCGACTCATAGCGGAGTCGGTTCCGATTCATAGTGACCCTGTACAGGGTTTTCAAGGCTGTAAATCTCTACAGGAGGAGAAATCCCGGGGACAAATGGTAGTTTCGAACTGCTGACCCAGAGGTAAGCATCCCGATTCATAACCACTATGCTACCAGAGCTTTCTTATTTACCTCCTTGGAAACCCTATCCAGGGTCGGTGGATATGGATTGGAACTGACTTGGTGGCATTTAACAACAACAACAACAATGTAGTGGTTACGGGGGTCACAATAAATTGAGGTCAACTCGAGGAGAATGAGTTTGTCTGAGAAACCAAATGTAACTGTTGATGGGCGGGGCAAGTGGCACTCTTGATCCATGTTGCAGGAACTTCATGTAAATCAAGATATTTGAAAAGTACAGTAGAAAGATAAATTGGTTATTTTGATTGGTATAACAAGGCCTTAAAAAAGAAACACATTATCCTAAATTGTTTTCTCTAAAAACATTATGAAGCATGAAAAATAAAAAAGAAACTAGTTATGAAAATGTAATTTTTACCTCTGAATGGTATTGTTAAATTATATAATAATATTTCTGCAAGGAACTTACTCTGAGTGGGTCTTATGATAAATAAGTGCTTATGAATTTGATTTATTAACATTATAAAGAATAAAATAAAGTCATTTTGACAAAAGATGTTTGTGCTAATGACAATCTTGAAAGGATTTTTCCATATAACTTGTTAGATCTTACAGAATGAGTTTCAATGAAAGAAAAGAGATGATTTTTGTTTTAGAAAGAAACTAGTAGGTCCAAAAGCATAGGACAAGACGAAAATGGCTAAAGAGCTTTGAGTTTTTTCCTAGTTGTGATAAAACAATCTGCTTAACAAGAAATAGTAAAAGGCAAAGATATTGGTAATCTTTGGTTTCTCAAAGTGGCTGGAACAATTTTTAACATTTGCAAATAAATTGGGATGAATAATTCTTGTCTTTTAATACAAGCCAAAGCGAGTAAAGTTTTACTAAAGGTAATACAGAAAAGGCTGCAAGCATACATTGACAGAGAACTTCCAGAAGTTCAAGCCAGATTCAGAAGAGGCCGTGGAACAAGGGATATCATTGCTGATGTCTGATGGATCTTGGCTGAAAGCAGAGAATACCAGAAAGATGTTTACCTGTGCTTTATTGACTATGCAAAGGTTTTTGATTGTGTGGATCATGACAAGCTATGGACAAGATTGCAAAGTATGAGTATTCCAGAACACTTAATTGTGCTCATGAGGAATATGTACATGGACCAAGAGGCAGAACATGAGAACACTGAATGGTTTAAAATTAAGAAAGGTGTGCGACAGGGTTGTATTCTTACACCATACTTATTCAACCTGTACACTGAGCAAATAATCTGAAAAACTGGGTTCTATGAAGGTAAACGTGGCATCAGGATTGGAGGAAGACT